CCCGATCCGCGTAATTTGAGCGGAGGGCAGATGCCATGTTCAATATTCCTCGCTGCAAGAAATGGCTGACTGTTGCTGAACCAAGTTAGACCGGAATACAGGCGGAAGTTTAGAATTGGCACTGGTTCATTTTGGACTTTAAAAAAATCTTTTGTTCCCGTCTTTGTCTACTGACTATTGTAAGCCTGTTGGCACAAAATCCCTACTGCTTTGTGCAGTCACCTGAATGTCATGCAGTTTTTATCAACTGTATTATAGTTGAGAAGCTCAGAGGATGGTTTAAGCCAGGGACTGTTATTTCTCTCGCAGGGCTCAATTTTGACCTAGATTAAGTTAACTATGTCAAAACAGCAGATGCTTTCCTTTATCTAGGACTGCCAAGTCCGTGGCTAAAATCGCCCACACACTGGATTCTAGGATTCATTTAAGGACTTCTGGAGCAGTTTAAGGTGCATTTTACCAGGCGGTATTGTTCTACGGAAGACTACGGTTAGGGCGTAACTGCGTTCACCAAGGACAATAGAGTTGCTGTATAAACAAAATCAACCTTGTAGTGTTCGTCTTTTCCCCACGACTTCTGGCAAAGTCTGTGCGATAAGAATAACTATAATTTACTACTTAGATGCGTATAACTTAGTGGGATGGGTTTCATTTCACCGTTATCTGTAGATTCCTTAGCTTGGGTTATAGTTGCTGATCAGCAACCGTGCCGAATGTCCTACAGCACCTTTGTCTTGAACCGCCGTCTATTGCTAACGCAGGACCCATAAAACATTGTGATTTTGTTTTTACTTGAATTGGGACGTAGGAAGACCGAGTGGGGCATCTCTCGGGCGTCATCAGATCCTCCTTTATCGTCGTCTAGGGGAAGTCATCTCAAAATGAATCAAATGCATTACCAAACCCAACATCCACTTGCTGTTTACGTATCCACTTGGATACGTATTTTCCTTATTAGTATTAGCAGTTCAATAGAGGTGTCTCTATTAAAACCAGTTATCATTAAACAATGAAATAATTGTGGTTCTTCAATGGGTTTTTACGTTGCATTTCCTGCACTTCGATGTTTGGGTTTCCCTTATTCAGTTAGATGGCAATACAAGAAAGGAAACCCTATAGAATTCTAATCGTCAACATTTCTCAGTACAATAACAAGAATAACAAGCATTTCACAATGCTATAATAAAAGGGCGTTTACATGAAGTGGCCAATAAGCACACAACACAGTGGCGCAATCGGTGGCAGGCAGTTCAACTCGACGTGTTTAAGCAATCAATCAACAGTAAATGCGCGACTTGTTACTGCTAATGGTGTACTGAGGAAAAAAAGATAAGTACAGTTTATGACATCCGTCCTCAGACTATCGTATCCGCCACTTTTTTATTCCCAGCAATAAATACATCTTTTATCAAAATTACCCTGTTACGGGCGTCCCTGCTTCTCGCAAAACAAAAGTAGGTGATTTCCATAGGGTTTGCTCTCTAGTTAATAGTGTGCCTAGTCAGAAAGATCTCATATCAACTTGAGTTACTGGAGACGTTACCGCAAACTGTTATGCCTGAACTATGACTACCAGAACTTCTGCTAGCGCAATTTCGCTATCGAAGGACACCAAGCAGCAAACGCTTAAATGAAAGATACCAATGATTGGTTTGATAGTATATTCTCAAGTCAGCTTTAACAAAGTGTTCGACGCCAAAATGTATGCTTCTTACATCTGTTTTAAATGGAATAAACCAAACTCATATCTAGCAGTGGTTTGCAGTTACCTGCTAACGCATATTTTTATCATGCTCACTCCTATTAGGAAGACGGTCTAGTTCTCCTTCCGTTTTGAGGTTTGTTGTTGGTGCTTGCGTGTGTGTTCACTTAAAGTAAGCTGTAGTTTAAGAAGTAAAGTTTGGCGAACGTTCGTTTTCGATTATTTATAATCAGGCAATAAGGGAGGGCAGACTGAGAAAAGTTTAAGCCTCCAATCAACAGCAAATAAGGGGAAAAAGGTATTCTAGTCATGTCAGGATACCAGAAAGAGAGAAAGGGGTCCTACAGTTAGTTTATGTCGCCGCGTCGTTGGTTTTTTGCTTATTTGTTCGACAGCGGTGACCGCGTAGCCGCCTACCAAGCGTTCCGAGTCATTGGTAAAGTGCCGACGAAACACTCCAAGCTTCTGCATCGGCGGATACTCGCGATGGCAGAGGCAGTCGCCATATGGCCACCTAACCCGATTTTATGCGCGCAGAAGGCGTTTATACAGGCACTAAAGCTCCCTTTACCGAAGACCAACTCAGCATGCGTCCTCGCGTCTCCTATCAAGCTGCGAGATAGTGACGACCCGGCGAGATGAACTAATTATTGAATTCTTGACCGTTTTCTTGTGTCTGCACTGTGATGACCGTGCATTCCTTCTCCCAGAGCAGGCGCAACAAGCCAGAGTCGGCAGTTACATTCTCCTACTAAAACAGTTGCCTTTCTAATTGGGCTTAGTGCAGTTCAATCTACGCACCTGAGGCATATCAATCAGAGATGCACTGGAGATAACTGCGTCCCGACCTCTTTTGACATGTCCAGATGGACATGAGGGGTCACCCTTTCATGCATCTCTCAATGTGGTCTGGTGAGAGACGTCAAATTGAATGCGTGTATTACCTAATCTGTCTTACGCCTGTAAACCCATGGATGTCTTCTGACAGCATATTTTGTCCACTTTAAATCCAACATCTTTACTTCATATTTTAGTACTTATCTTAAAAAAGGATTCTACGCTTATCAAGACAAAAAGGAATATGGAGATAACAGACGAGCCGGATTTTTCCGATCCCGAACAAATGGGATTGTCACTGCCCACTGTGTGAGGACTCTATTAATCTGAAATGCAATACTTTTCTATTTGCGTGGTTGGCTTCTGGATGATTAGAAATGTTATCCACTTGCACCCCATTGCTCCTTTCCTGTCTTTTTTTTTCTTATTTTTCACTTTATTTTATTTCATACGAACACTGGATCGCAGCAAATATCCTGGCGGTTTTCTAAGTTCGTTCAGATGGATGATTATGAAAAAATGGGATAAAAAAACAGAAGGGTTCTAGTCTTTGACTGAAAACATCTAATCCAACGGGCGTTCTCTTGCATTTCAGCTTTTTGCGTATGTCTGCCAACGCAGTGCCCCTTTAGGCATTGGGAATGTGTAGACATTGTTTACATTGCTACTTAATGTTATGCGGTAGCTTAGAATGTGTAACTATTCATAGCACACCTGATATCTTCTGAAAAACAACTGTTAGTCACGGTACCACATGTTCGGTTTGGTCGAATAATTACAATGTTAACCTTTACCCTACTTCTGGTCTTACCTGGTGTTAGATAATTTCGGACCCACAACAGATTGCGTATCTTGAATTCCGTTCCGGTTTACCGTCTACGGCATCACAATCATTTAAATATCTAAGTAATGAATAAGCACTTGAAGCACCAGTTTATTCTTCAGCCCTTTTGAACTCCTACCGGAGTTCATGGTCAGAGATGACACCAGAAGATGCATTAACCAATAAATGACGCCTATCTGAAAATAACTTCGCAGAGCGTTTTATGCCGGTGCCAGATTGCTCCATTGATTTATTTTCATCCGAGATTAAGACTTCAAGTTTCGGCCTGAATTGATCTACCATTTTGATCGGGACTAGTAACTATAGTAGAAAGGCGTTCACTAATCAGGTTGTTGGACGCGCTGTTCTCGTTTTGCCTTGGGCCTCAATCTAGAGTCAGTCGCATTGTGACTAGAGGGGTGCATGAGAACAAAGAAAAGGGGGACTGGGATAGCCGTTGATGGCTTATTACCTGTAGTCAGCCAGTCATGCTGACCCCCAGGTCGCTATGCCACTGCCTGTGATGACACTGAATTGATTTCAAGGGCACAGCGGGATGGTAATGTACTGTACTCTAATCGTTGAATCAAGTGTACATATGTTATGACAGTATGATTTGAGTTAACCCACCCTCCCCCCACTGTTTGGATCTAAACGGACACTGCGTCGACGGCCATAGATGCCCAAGGGTTTTAAGTGCAAGCAGCAATACCCGTCAGACTACTTTTGTGCACACGTGCCAGGAACCACAGTTAATGGCCATCACTTGATGTGTGTGTACAGGCTCTCGTTCTACAATGTCCTTATGTGGTAGGTGGGCGCTCACCGATCGGTTACGGAACTCACTCGTTCCTTTTTTCCTTGGAGCCCGTGGTCTAGTCCCGCCAGCAGCTGCTCAATGGCTAGCATATATTATAGGCAGAAGAGCATTATTTACAAAGACTAGGGAGATTGGAATGCCCATTTCTGGCTTATTAGCCGTCAACAACCAATCACTCCCAACCACGGGTGTTGCGGCGCCCGAGGCCCGAACCCGCAACCTTGTGGGGCATGGCTGGCTGATCATGGCTAATACGCCAGAAATGGTAATTCCAATCTCCCTAGTCTTTGGCGTAAATGTATTTCTGTCTGGAAACGTATATGTTCACAGTTATCGTGCAAATAAACCGATTCTTTAGCATTCATTAACACCATATTATACGCTAAACCCATCCCTATCTGTTGTGTTCCTTAGGTTTAGTATTCGTCTCCGGGTTACTAAGGTCACACGTTAGTACGTTGTCCAATGTTTTCACTCTTAGCGCTTCCATTATTGTTATGGGGGTGACACTGTAGTATCCCAACTCGGTGATCATTCCGCCTTCTCTGATGTTTTACTTCCGATCCTCTGCAGGTATTGAATTCCCTGTGAACATTTCGAAACTCTTCTTAGTCTATCAGCAGACCTTCAAAGTTTTGCATTTTGTTCTGTAGGCAGACTTGTCGGTGTTCGCAATGGCCAGAAGTAGAAAATCTCTTCTTACAAACCCTAAGAAAAGCGAGGTTGTCTGAGCAGTTTCTGATTGAATTACAGTTTAGAACAAAACTGCATTTTTCTAAAATTACATAGAACGTGAATATGGAAATCATTTTAAAGGTCATTGCCTTCCTATACAGTTATGTGTTCTATGGTTTCAGTCCTCACGCACCTATGCACGCGATGATGCGATTGTTTGCTGATGGTTTTTTGTAGCAGGGACGTCTTGTTTTCATTGCAAACCTAGGGATCTTGCTAAAACTTATTTTTACTCAAACTGACTTGTTTCCCTTTGTTTAGTATGGGACGTAACGCGGGTATTGTCTCAAAAACTCCTGGAAACTCACAATATGAAGTGAGGAGCAGAGTGACTGAGCACGACAATCTATCACTTTCTTCGGTCTACACCTCGGCGGCAGTCAACCAACGTTCCGGCTGTCTCTCAGTGCAAAAGTGCTATCACACAGGGATTCACCCCTTACTGGCTTATGGCAGTCATTGCACTCTATGTTTTGCATCATCAGACTCTAGCAGCAACGGCGATCTCCTCCTCCATCGCACTGTTGTCGGCCACAAGACGCCAATCACGGCCGTGGCTTGGATACCGCCGTTCCACGGACCTGGTTGGTCCACCTTCAGTGGACATCTTCTCTCTGCCTCGACTGACGGTAGGTTCACTCGCTTATACCGCAGGTTCCGTCCTGACTGTTCATGGGTAAAAACGATTTCTTTACTTCAGCTCATAAGCCTAGTAGATGTGGCATTCATTTCACTGCTTCCCTAAAATAATCCTCACGAGTAGGACTTACAGTCACTCTGTTTGATCAAATTTCACACAGTTTGTTTGCTTCTGGCGCGAAAACTGCAACTACTGATAAATATGTAGCCTTTTCCTTCCCGCGTTTGTTTCGTTGGAAATAGTGAAGAATAGGACGACATTTTTTCGTTTATTTCTTGTCCTTAGACAACTGTATCATGTAACAATCTGTAATAGCATGTGATTCAAACCCGAGTCAGACGGATAATTGGGCTCCAAGCTTTACCAGTTAGGCCACCGACTCTGATCCTGTCGAATGCTATCTGGAATATTGAAGGTGACGTGAGAATTTGGTTGACCAACCTCGTTTCATTGCAGAACCAACTGAACTCAGGCTCTAGTCTCCGGGGATGGTTGACTGGCGGCGACGAATAAGCCGGAAATGGCCTGTCGTGTTTCCTTAATTTTGTCGTTAAGTATTCTTAACTATGAATTCTACCCTCTTTATGGTGTCTAGTCCAAGGAATATCTGTATGAATCTCGATTAAACACCCATGGCGTCTTTTCATACATTATCCAACGTGTTGTCTGTGATAATCCGATACATAAGCACAATGTTTTTATTGCAGCAAGGCAGTTATTTATTTGATTTAGGTAGGCATATTCAGTTTAAGTTAGCATCTGTTTAGTAAAGAAATTAGTGTTTAGGTTTACGTTTAGGACTAATATAAGGGCTAGGAATTAGTTAGAGATTTGTGGCTACGGTCGTGGAATGGGGTTAAGAATTACAGTTTGAAAATATTGACTAAAGTTTTCTTGTTGGATTTATAGTCATGGTTGGGGCTTAAAAGTTAGGGCATTAGGTGTTAGAGTTCGTCGTTATGGTTCGGTCTTACGGTAACGTTTAGGGGGTTAGGATTAGGGTTGGGGCTTATTTTTAGTTTTATTATTGGCGGTTAAGTTGGGGCTTGGGGTTAGGATTAGCGGATTCGCTTTTGCATCTCTTTCAACTGCTCAACCGGCCTGCCGGCTGCGTTCCTGTACTCATAGTTGCTGTCAGAATTGCGGTCAGTTAACTGTATTTTAACATATTTGGCCACTATTTTGCGATGTTTGTTTTGCGCGTATTCCTTCACGAAACACTAAATCATATACCCTGTGCCTCGGCTTCGCAATTTCTTGTCGGAGATGGTGAGCCTCTGATCATGCACTTGCATGTATATGCCCTTTTCATCAGAACTCTTTAGACTATTTAAACGTTATCACTTATACCGCTGCTTTTAACCTTACTTCTCCCGGTGTCCTTAGTCTACCGTCGCCTCTTGTCACATCCGTAAAACCCCTTCTTATCACCGCTCTCGTAATACATGCGGTCATCGTTTTGGATTTATTCATTGGACTTGCATGTTGCATGCTCACTGTCTGGCCTAATAAGTCATCCGCCATTACTCCAAATTGCGCTTTTCTCCGACAAAATTTTCATGATTAGCGGTCATTTTTTTATTTCAAAAATCACTCAGACTATTTTTTCCTAATACATTTTGGCAAAAGTGTCTTGTAGGGTCGCCTTAATATCTATTCCTCCCGTCCGAATGTCTTACGGAATCGGCGGTTAAACATTTAATTCCTGGTTAACGAGTGTAAATGAATATTTAATTGGATTAAAGGTAATCAAAGAGTATTTAATTAAGCCACTTATAATTGTTTTAATGAGCCAAATATATTGAACTCCATCAACATAAACTCCGGTTGCTCAGGCAACTGATGCCTATTGATGGAAAGTCGACCTTGTGTTGGAGTAATTTAACGAAAAAAATGGCAAGTCGGGCTACTAAAGATATAAAGATAGTTTATTATAAAAAGTCAAAGTCTAAAGACATTCCTACCTGAATTTTAATTTTATTTGAAAATAAGTACTATTTAAAAGCCTGCTGCCACCGCGGGCAAAACCTTCGTCCGATTCAAACAGCCAATAAAGAGTAGTAGACCTGCGCCAACTCTTGATGAATTCTCTAAAGCAGAACTATGCCTCTACTCGTTTACGGAATGGCGCCAGCATAATGAACCTCACCCCCACACTCCTGTTCATTTTTGGCTCCGTTTACCGTAGTCTGCTGGTTCCCCTATACAGGAGCTCCTAAAACATTCCTACGAGACGCTGTCTCTTTTTCTCTCCATTCACCGTACGAGTTAAAACAATGAGCAGTTGATTTTCAGTGTTTATTGGGTTGCAAACAAAAAGGGTTCCCTAAGGATTTAACCCCATTTTTTCAACTATCCTTTTTACCGTCTCTGAAGGTACTATCAAGCTGTGGTTCGTGGACAGTAGCAGTGAACGTGAAGTGACCTCATTGCAACTCTCCACGACTGCTGCGCCCTCGGAGGCGTCAGTGGTGGCCCTACATGGATGCTATCTGGACGAGACAGAGTCTAGGGTCTTCGTTGTTGCTGCCAGTCGCAGCAAGGTTTTCGGCTGGTCACTCAACCTGACGGC